TAACTATCAGTCACTTGTACACACGGAAGGTACGGCTAAAGTTGAACATTCAGTAAGTAATCTATATACATCGATTTCGTCATTGTCAAATCGATCCCAGAGCCTAATAATATGCGATTGAAGTTCTAAATATTGTTTCCGTTGAATTCTGGTCAATTTTCTCTGGCTAACAAGTTCGACTTGAAGATCTACGGTCTTGGCTTTCTTGTGTAGTAGTTTTACAAGCTCGTAGAATGGGAGCTGATGTCTGTTTGAGGCTTGTTGGTTAATTCTGTTGTGCCATCCCTCAATGTCGTTGTTAGTGCGAATATTCCTGCAATGAAAAATCAGATGTTAGAAGCTGTTTCATTTCAATATGCTTCACATTAAATTCCAACCTTCTGTAAACAGACCAAGTGGTGGGATTCCATCTATTTGCGTAGATCCAGGTTTTACTGACATACTGGAGCAGGTTTAACAGGGAATTGTTCTGGTTTGCCTGTTCGTGAAGCCGGTTGAACATCTCCTCAATGTCGTCCGCCGGGATGTATGGCAAAGCCATAACCTTTCTCAGGAACGTCTGGGCTGCTCTGTCCTCATGGTATGCTGCCTGGAGTCCTAAATACTGGATCTGATGAGACAAGAAAAGTCATATAAGATACGAATTTCATATTACTTTACTTTATTGTTTTTTGCCATACCTTTCTCCAAACAGCTTTGCTCCAATGAAAGGAACAACCGGATAGCTTGACTGTTGGTAAAACCCTGGAAAGGGCTTTCCAGGCAGACTTCTCAAAATCAAGAACTATGCGCTTGACTCTTGGTACCGTGGGCAACATATTGATGATTTCCTCGAGTACCTACGAAGTACATTTGTTATTTGCATTATGATTTGAAAGCAGTTTAACAATATRCAATTTTTAAATGAACGTCCAATTCTTATTATCGTAATGAAAATTAAACCACGTCTAACCTTTTGRTAATCACAGGCCTTTCGTCCGGACATAAGTATGTATACCATGGGAACCTGTTTGCTGCAGTCGTCCTTGCAAACAAAGGYATTGATAGAATATAGTTGTGTAAAAGGTTGTCGACAAAGCTTAAAAGTACCGTCCATATACCTGAAGATAGAGATAGTATTGAACTTAGAAATAACAAAATTACTGTCATTAATTATCAAAGTTATTATTATACCTACCAATACTTTGCTTTTGCAAGTAGTTTAAGTTGCTCTGCCGTTGCGAAAATTAGGTGACGACGGTCTTTAACGAGTACATCACCACGAAGGAAGTCATCTGGTAGGAACCGACGGTCTTCTGTCAASTCRAAGTCTAGGTCTCGTAGTTCTTCCGGCCGAAGGCGTTGACGGTACCTGTTAGCATTCCGCGCAAGGTAGTGGACTTTGGGCAGGGCACTGCATGGACGGTTTATTTCCAACGTTTCCAATAGAACATTTTCAACGAGAGCTGTGGCTGGTTTRAAGACATCTGCTATGGCTTCTTCTTTTATCTTCTTAACAACTTTGCATGCAATTGCCGTTCCAGATTCAGGCTCGTGGTTATGGCTAATAGGACCAATCGAAAAACTCCCGTCGCTCTCTTTGACTGTAGCACGACATGGGTTTACCTATAAAAAAATAAGCAGGGATGGAATTTAGGTGAATTTTATTGATTGATATCAGTTTAGAAATTAAATCTTACCTTCGGTCTCTTGATACACTGCCACTGAGTAGATTTCTTTCCTTCATACTTAACATTGTAGGCRTAACCACGACTATCGACTAACTTAAGTTTCCCGCGCTTTGTTCCATCTTCTATTTTTTCAAACGTC